CACTACTTCGATGCATGCGGTGTAAATGCCAGTGTGTGACTTGGTCCTATCTACCACCTTTACAGTCACTTCAGATATGTGGGGACATCTGGGTGTCTGAGTCATCCCTTCCTGAATTAACTGTCTGCTTGTAAAAAACTACCCTAGTGTGAGATGTAGTACTTTTTCTTGAAGTATGGATTTCTTTACTTTTGAGCGTAAACCTCAAGTCTGGACAAACAGAAATAAACTGAAAATTTACTGAAATAAAAGGAGAAGGATCGCACCCATCTGCTTCCACATACATCTCTGGGTACTTGAGCTATGGACAAGGTTTTGCTTGGCTTAGCCAGTGGTGTCTTGGGAAGTGTGTGGGTACATAAAGCTTTCTTGATGCACCTGTAATATAAGGTGATTAGTCTGATATTTGGAATTTGTTCTAAGCCAATGCAGTTAGTGTAAATATGTTTGATACACACGGTTTGATGATCTGGTCACTGGTGAGAAAGAATGATAATCCTTCATGGATCAAGATATAATTCTGCTAAACTCACCAAAGCCAAATCAACACTGCAATTGTTTCTGTATGTTAAGTTTCTTTGAGTATTTAGCCAAGACAAATTGAGGTGAGCCTTTGGTTTGTTGTTTGTGGATTTAAACAAATATTTATTTTGGCCAGAGGAAATGGTTTCATGTTGAGTAGGGCATCAGCTTCTTTGGAAGCAACAGAACCAAGCAGAAAATAAGTAATACTCAGCAGGCAGTTTTGTTTAAAAATAAACTAACAAGCCACACACACAAAAAAAAAAAAAAAAACCACACCAAAAAAATCTCTAAACCAACGCAACAAACACTGAAACTTGATTATTTCGTTGATGGCATATTGAGACTGAAGGGAAAGTGTAAATAGATAGTTTGTGTTAATTACCAGTAGTCAGTCTGCTCCACAGAGCTGCTGACTTCTAGCTCGGCTCTGTCTGACCAGTGCAGTCAGCCTGGGCCGCAAAGAGCTAGGCAGGGGCGTGCTGTGTCCAACCAGCACCACGGCAATAGTTGCAGCTCGGGTTTTTTAAAGGAGATGAGAATTTAGCTCTGGTTTATGTCTGTGGGAAATAAATGCAAAGATTAGTAAATGGAAGTTGCATCAGATTGTCCAGCACCTCCAAAAAAAGAATGAGTAATGAAACGTGCCCACCTCTAAAGCTGAAAGAGAAATAAGATTGTTAGGGCAAGGAAATTCGAGCTCCTTGTGCGTGGGACGGACAGGGCTGAGGGTTGCGGGTCGGGGTTGGTAGGCAGCGCTGTGAGCGCTGTCGCACAGCGCCATCTCCCGCGGCCGCGCGGCTCGCTCCATTGCCGGGGGCCGCAGCGATGGGACGGGAAACCAGAGCGACACACTGGCCGCGCCAGCCAAAGGACTTGTACATCGTCCCATCTATGCTACGGCTAATTAAATATTTGCCAGCTAATTGAAGTGGCGTATCTAGCCCTGGCTAGAAGGACTCTTAAGAGTGCTGCACTCTGATTTTGTTTTTTCTTCTGTTGTGAAGTTTTGCTAGCACATTAGCATTCCACTGCTGTCTCCATCATTCAAAATTATTCGCAGTCACTCTCATGTGAATACAACGAAGTTATATTCTCAAATAATTTGCGGGCATACTGTCACAGCATCACTCTTACATTTGCCTATGGCAAATGCAAAACTTTCTCAGGCAATGAACCACAGCTTGTATGTTTTTTGAATAATTTTCCAAATTTAAGCTCTGCAGAAATTATTAGAGTTTGGCACACTGACAGGATGGGTAAATATGTGGTCCTCTGCCCATGCTGGGAAGGGGCTGATCAATAAATGTCAGTGGGGGAAAAAAATGCTTTTAGATAGTTAGGTCTTGTCCCTTAAAGCAGCAGGATGAGCTCAGGGCTGACTGCAAAACACCACTGCATATACAAAGTCCTCCTATAGTCCATAGTGTTTGTAATCTGTGAGAAGCTTGTATTCTTGCTGATGGGAAGTTTGTGGGAGTCTTCTCAGATTCTCTGTGAACACCACCTTGACTTACTCTTTTTGAAGCTTTCTCTAGCTGAAAGTGGAAGTCTGACTTTCCTGTAGTCTTGATCTTGATATTTAGTATTTAGGTTTGATCAAGAAAAAAGGTACTAATTTGCTTCAATAGTCATTTGAGATATAGGAAAACTCAAAAGGGCAAGTAGCCATCTGCTACTTTGTGTGATGGAACCAAGTTGTGTGGCACAGTTCTGACTGGATCCATGAAACATGAATGCTCACACTCTGCATTCCCTCACATTTACTAGTCGCAGGAGCTGTCTGTAGTGTACACTTGAGGGAAGTTCTGGCTCTAGTAAGGTCACTGACGTTTGCTGAGATCGTTTTGGTAGATACTGATGATGTACTAGTGTCAGCAGAATCTAGGCAATGCTATCCCTGATGCAATGCTATCCTTTTCTCTTGCAGGTTGTAGGAATTTTTGCAGGATTTGGTCTTCTGCTTTTGGTGGCCTCCCCTTTCCTTCTACTTGCTACACCATTTGTTCTGTGCTGCAAGTGCAAATGTAATAAAGGAGATGATGACCCTCTGCCTACCTAGACTGAAAGAAGATTGGACTCATCACAACATATATTTTGATTTTATTGTTACTGTTGATATTTCCCTCTTGCACTTACATTGTTGTAGCCTTACTTGTCCCATTCTGCTTTTCATTGACACACAGTCTTGGTTGCAGGAACTGTTGTTACTACTGTTGTATAGATCATTTGATAATAGAAAAGGAGGATAATAGAAGGAAAGTTTGGTGCTAAAGAGAGACCACAGACCTGGGTAGCTATCTGAAATGAAGATGTGATACTACTTAAAATAATGCAAAAAGTTGGTGCTGCCCTGCTGATGGACTGGGAACTGTACTAAATGACATCAGCAAAACAAGCTGAAAAAGCATGCAAATACAAACTTCTGCATATCTGTTCACTTCCAAATTTGGTGTCTTATTCCTGTATATATTTAAGTTGCCTATTATTTAAGTCAGATAGTCAACTTGGTGTGACTTTATTATGTTTATTACACATCTGGTTTTGTTAAAGCCATCACAAGATCCTGTTTAGTACGTATTTTTCCAAGTATAACAAAATCAGTAAGGTGCATATAGGCCATCCTATGCCTTTCTTGAAATTTGAGGATGGTTAAAGGGACAAAGTTGGTCCTGCTGCCTTCCTCGAATTTTATCAAGTCTTATAAGACATTTGTTTTATTGAAAGCTACATTTTAAAATTAATTGATGAAGCTGTACGGTTGAGTGGTGACACAAGCCTGCTATCTAATCGAGGTTCTTTTAAAAATGCATTGATGGTATTGATTACCACTGGACCACTAGTGTTTTTCTGAATTGTTATTTTTTTGCTGTTGTTTAGGGTTCTGCTACACTTATAGGGCTACGTAACTTCTAATCCAGGTATCTTAGTCTTTTTATAGATATATAGATATATAGATATATATATAATCCTATTTAAACCAAATGTGTAAATAGCTGTGCTATTGAAATATTTTGGAAGTTCAGGATAGCTTGCTTTTGTCTTTAGGGCAATTATTAAAAAATACAGGACTAACTTTACTATTTAGAAGACTCTTGGATTATCAATGAATCTTTCCTTTTAAAATATAAAAAGTACATCATGGTTATCCCTGTAGTTAATAGTAAAAATGCCTGGGATACTTGTGGAAGTTGTATTTTACATTTAAACTACTTAGCCCATTTTCAGAGTTAATATTGAATGATATGTGGTGTATTGTGTTAATACTGTGACAAAATAAGTTTTTATTTTAAAAATAAGCACTTGATAGTTTTGCAGAATTCAGTGTTGTGTTTTCAGGGTAGTAAAGTGTGCTCATCAACATACTGCATCATTGTGGTTTCTCATGAGAAATATTTTGTTGAAAACCATTTTGCTCTGATTTTAAAGCCTCCAAGAATTTGACTAATATTATTGCCATGAACTATGAAGCACCTGAAATAATGTGTATGTCTATAGTACTGAAGGAAAATGCTCTCTTGAGTGGCTTATGGACTGAATTTTGGCTATGTTTTTTCATCATCATTTATTTGTGTGTGTCAGCAATGTACTAAGATGGATGAGTATCTTGAAGCCAGGATAGATTTACACTGAAAATGTATTGAGACCCTTAAAAGCAACTGCTTCTGGCTGCTGTCACAGGTTGGGAATGTGTTTTCATAGCTCAAGCATAAAGAAATTCCTCCTTTATTATATTTTGTTTCACACTATGTATTAAATAAAAATACTGTAGGGCACAGTTCTGAAAAGGGCCACTGTCTTTTTGTAAAACTGTTCTCCTCCCCCCTCTTCCAAGTTAAATGGTATCCAAATTCAAACTATCTAACCACAGATTTTAGCTCTAGGATCTGGAGGTTATCTGCAGTTCACTTACTTGCTTTGCTTTTAATGAGTTCAGGCATTGTAATGTGAAGAAAAAGGATAGCTGTTTTCAGCAAGTCTGAAATCCTTGTGGTATCTTCAGATTGTTTAGGACAATGCACAGTTCAGGTCTTTTGTTATAAGAGTATATTTAGTATTTTAGCATCTTCTTATTAAAATTTGCTTAGTTCAAAAGTATCTGTAGGGAAGTCTGGGTAGTGCATTTGATCACTGTTTGCCAGCCCTCAGGGGTATCTGAAGCACTGCTGAGTTCAGCCGGCAGCAAAGTGCTTATCTCCCTCCAGCTCTGGCAGCAGCTCAGTCCATCTCCCAGAGGTATCCCAAGCCAAGACACCTGGGTTGTCCTGAGTCATAGCTTCAGTATGCAGACATAATGAAACCCTTGTGCGAAGGACAGCTTCCTGCAGGTAAGTTTGAACTATGGCCTTTCCTCCCCTGTCCTATAATTCTGTTTAACTGGAGGAAAAAAATACTGGACAATAGGACTTAAGACTTCATGGGGTTTTAATTTTTTAACTGGGGACACTAAGGGATTTTACTATATTGTGGCCGTGACTCTGTTGACCAGTTCTCCTGCTAGGATCATAGTAAACAGCAGAGGTATAGTGGCCTGTGAACAGCATTCGAGTGTCCTGGTATTAGGAGGTATATTTTTTCTGTGCCTTTCTTAGAGACAGCCTTTATGTGGCAATACAACAAAACTTGAGTTTTCACAGTACTGTGTGGCCAGTTATTAATCAATGTCAAAATTAATGCATTTCCAGGTTTAAAAGAAAAAAAAAAGTCCTTTGCAAATACAGATATTTCAAAATGATAATTTATAATTGATGCTCACAGGTAACATTATATATAATCAGAAAACTGTCAGTGTATCTCTGATCTCAACATACTTGAATTACTACTGGACATTTTTATGACATAGATCTGTTTCACGTGGTGGCTGTTGGGATAGACTATATGCCTACATATATTTCCAGATACCTATTTTCAGGTTTGCTAAATGTCATTCCATCTGTATTCTTGGGGAATTTTTGTTTGGTTTTTTTTTTTTCAAATTACTGGAGTTTATTTGGTTTTTAATGTTGATTTGGTTCCAAAGTAGCAACTTTTAGTGGTGATGTACTAAATTCAGGGTGTTCTTATGCTGCAGCTTGTGTTGATACTGTGGCATTTAATACCCTGAAATTGAATTGTAAATACATTATTTTAAACTCTGACATTTAAACTCCCTGCCATGGAAAAGTGTTAGTTTTTGCTGCTTTTCAAATGTAATTCTGTTACAACAGCTATGGCTTTTTAGGTTTTCATCAGAAAAAATAAGTGTCCCAGCATGATTTCTGTTGCATTTTTTATGGTTATGATATTATTTAGGGGGTTTACATTGTCTTAAATGCTGTTTTTAGTGGAATTTGTAACAGTACATCATTTGCATGTTCTGCTGGGGTTGGTGTCATGTTTAGAGCGTATGGAGTCCTGACTCCAAAGGCTTTGCATCTCCTTAGGCTTGCCATTCATTAGTTGGGCTGAATTTAGTCCTGAAAGAGACCAGGAGCACAGCCTTCACCAACTTCAATGGCAGCAGCATTAGGTTGTTCCCCGGGATATTGGACTGGTCATTATCTCCATGTATATTAACTTAACCATCTTTTAAATGGATGGACCAATGTTTACCTACCTCACAAGAAGGTTGTGAGGGCAAATTCATTGGTTTTGAGGTTCTCCAAGAGTCTGTGATGAACAATTCTGTATAAATAGTTACTGTAGTTTTATGTTAATATTTCAGTTTTATTCATGTTGGCATTCAGCCTGAAACCTCCTACTACTGACTTTAGTATGTCAAGAATTTGGGATGCTTTCCCCCACATACCAAGCAGCATGATCTTTCCTCAGATATTCTGGTTTATGAATTAGGAAAAATCCCAAATAGCAGCCAACTGGATCAACTCTCAGCTTACAGCTGGTCTCCTGTCATACAGGAAACAATCAAAATTAGTGAAAAGCTGTCATTTATGGAGCTGGCAGGATAAAATTTTCATAGGTCAGAAAAGCATGAAGTGGTTTTGGTTAAAATTGGCATGAGCAGGAAGGTAAAAATGAAGTTCTGTGCATTTCATCTGTAGGCCTTTTACTGTATAGGAATATATATATTTAATGCAGGCCGTTTTTATCCCAGTGAGGTGCAGCATGCATAATGCTTCGTGCAGGTTTGCTTTTTTAAAACCAAAGTTTGTACATTTCACATACATAATCTAAAAGCCTGAGGAAAACAAGTAGAATACGGTTGTTGATGACAGTGATATTAAGGACATCAAAAAAGCCTGCATCAGCGCTTAATTGCTAATGCACTTCTAGTAAGTAAGGCATGCTGTTTGTGTTTAGAGCCCTGTGGTCTTCATTATTGCTTTGATTTGTGTAGCTCTTATAAGAATTCCAGGAACATTAGGTACAGGTACGTGGTACGTAACTGAACCTTTCTTGATCATTTTATCATGATGTATTTTAAACTTGTATAGGGATAAGCATGAAGGAGTCATGCGTATGTATAAATAATGTATTTGACCAGTGTAAAAATAGTTCTGTTGTTGTATTTGAAATGTAAGTACATTTTGTGCCACTAACACTGTGATGTATAAAAGAGCTGTTGAATGCCTTTTAATGTGGTGTTTTGTACTTTGAATCATATTGAAGAGTTTAATTTGTAATTTCAATAGATATTTTAAATGAATGTGTGTCCTGTGATTCTTCATAGTGACTTTTCAGTGCTATGCATTCAACTGAAGAAAAGTGCTTTTGTTATTGTAGGACTCTCTGTGTGCTTCTCTGCCCCTCAGTCCTTCAGAGCAAGCACAACCTGCAGCCTAGAGAAGACCTGCCACGCTTCTGAGCATAACTGTGGTTTCTGACTCACCATCTCCCATCTTAGCTGAAAGAAGCAGTCTGGGTATCTCTAGAGTTAATTTGACCCACATTTGGGTCCTTGGTCAGCTGCTGTTGCTATCCACTGGTGGACACTCCAGGCAGGTGAATGTGCTGCTCCAAGGATCACTCTGAGGTGTGCCTATATTCTTGCACCACAGGTTTAGGTCTGGTGGGGGTGGCTGCAAGTAGCTTGTATTCCTCTCAGTTTGGTGGTGTGGAAGTGAAACTTCTAAAGGCAAAGCTCAATCTCCTGAACAACAGAGCAGACTTAACTTTCTCTGACAGTGGTAATGGGCTCTCCTGTTCTTGACTCTATCAACAGGCATTTTGCATTCTGCCTGAACTGCAATTGAGGATGAAGACTTTACTTCAGTCCCCATAGTTTTTCTCACTTGTTAGGATACAATTTGTCTATACCCGTAAAAAAAAAAAAGGCACAATTTCTTCAAGTAAATGGTGTTATAGCTAAAAATTAAGGGCACATAATAGCTGTTACTCAGTCATTCCTTCTTTCATTTTCATGAAGCAGAATGT